ATACTAAACCAAGGAGGTGAAAGATCTCTACAAGGAGAACTATGAAACTCTCAGGAAAGAAATCACAGAGGGTACAAACAAATGAAAAAACATGCTCATGCTCATGCTCATGGATACGTAGAATAAACATTGTTAAAATGTCCATGCTAGTCAAAGTGATTTACAAATTCAATGCAATCCCCATCAAGTTACTGAAGTCATACTTCACAGATCTAGGAAAAATAATTCTACACTTCATTTGGAACCAGAAAAAAAGCCTGCATAGCCAAAGTGATCTTAAGCAAAAAGAATAAATCTGGAGACATCACATTATCAGACTTCACACTATACTTTAAGGTTATAGTAACCAAAACAGCATGGTGTAGGCACAAAAATAGACTTAGACCAATGGAACAGAACAGAGAACCCAGATAGAAAACTATCTATCTACAACCAACTGATCTTTGACAAAGCAGACCACAACATACACTGGGGGAACAAAAGCCCTTTTCAATAAATGGTACTGGGAAAATTGGATAGCCACATGCAGAAGAATGAAACAGGACCCCTACCTTGCACAAAAATTAATTCAAGATGGATAAAAGATTTAGATCTAAGGCATGAAACCATAAGAATTATAGAGGAAAATATAAGAAAAACACTTCTAGATATTGGCCTAGGGAAAGAATTTATGAAGAAGATCCCAATGGCAATTGTGGCAACAATAAAAATTAATAAATGGGATTTTATTAAACTAAAAAGCTTCTGCACAGCTAAGGAAACAATGAACAGAGCAAATAGACAACCTACAGAATGGGAGAAAATATTTGCAAGCTACACATCTGATAAAGGGCTAACAACAAGAATTTACAAAGAACACAAGCAAACTAGCAAGAAAAAAACAAACAACCCTATTAAAAAGTGGGCAAAAGATATGAACAGAAGCTTCTCAAAAGAAAAAAGACAAATGGCCAATAAACATATGAAAAAATGATCAACATCACTAATCACCAGGGAAATGCAAATTAAAACCACAACAAGATATCATCTTACCCCAGTTAGAATGGCATTTATTTAAAAATCCAAAAACAATAGATACTGGTGCGTATGCATAGAGAAAGGAGCACTTATACACTGACTGGAAAATTAGTGTAACCTCTATGGAAAACAGTATGGAGATTATTCAAAGAACTAAAATTAGACCTACCATTTGATCCAGTAATCCAACTACTGGGTATTTACCCAAAGGAAAAGAAGTCATTTTTATCAAAAAGACACCTGTACTCAAATGTTTACTGCAGCACAACTCCCAGTTGCAAAGATGTAGAATCAACCCAAGTACCCATCAATTCATGAGTGGATTAACAAAATGTGATATATGTACACCATGGAGTACTAACTCAGCCATAAAAAAATGGATTAATACTTTTTGCCACAATATGGATGGAACTGAAGACTATTCTCCTAAGTGAAGTATCTCAAGAATGGAAAAACAAACACCAATGTACTCACTATTAAATTGAAACTAACTGATGAGCACAAATGTGCACAGAAGGAAGTAAAATTCAGTGGAAAGCAACCAGCTGGGAGTGGGGAGGAGAGGAGAGGAATAAACCAACCTAATGGGTACTATGAACACTATTTGGGTGACAGGCACACCTATAGCCAGGACTCAAGCATTACAAAAATGATCCATGTAACCTAAATTTGTACCCCCTTAGTATTTTGAAATTAAAAAAAACTGGGATCTGCCCCTAATTCCTGTACCCTGGTGAGGGGGGTAATCATCCTCTGTTCTTTTCTCACTGTGATCCCATGTAATTTGATATGCAGGTGTGTGTGTGTGTGTGTGTGTGTGTGTGTGTGTGTGTGTTGCACATCTCTGTGCATGTGCTTTCTGAACACAGCTGGTACCAGTATATATACCTGTGGGATTCATTTTAGCAGCTTCTCTGTGACAGAAAACCAAATCTGGGTTTCCTCTGCTGGGAAAAGGGGCAGAGACCAAGTTTTCCTTGTAATACTGTCAGGCCCTTCTGAACAGAACATATTATCTTAGCGCTGATTCAGATCTTACGTTGCAAACCAGCACCTGTACCTGGTAGCATTACACGATTTTGCACAGGAAGAAGTCTAAGTTCTGGGGGAGAGATGCTAGAATGTGGGGGTAGTTGAATTTGTGTGTGTGTCTTCTCTAATGATTTCAGTTGAACAGGAAGTGTGTCTTTGCAGCCTCTGACTTCCTCCCTCTGACAAAAAAGCCCATATAAGGTAAAGAGTGGATACATCCCTAAGAGGGGAACTACCTCTCTGCTAAGTCTGCTGTTCTAGACTCGCGCTTTACTCTGTCTCACAAAAGTCCAATTCTTGAATTTGGTAACTTGTTTTTTTTCACCTGCCTTTGATGTCCTCACTGTTCTGGCTCGGTGTTCCTTTCCTCAGTCCTCTCTGATGCCATTTCCCCACTGTCCCCACCTTCCCAGTGTCTCCCCATCTCCTCAGGACCCAAATCTCAGCAAAGGGCTTGACCTTAGTCACAATAAGGTGAAAGAAAATGACATCTTACTTTGTACGCCTTTAGAAGGGAAGTTGTTTATTTAATAAGAATGGGAGCTTTAAGCTAAAACAGCGAATATACAGCAGTGGAATTTCTAACGTTATTTAGAATTGCTTCTTGCTTTCAGGTAAGTCTTATAGCTTATGTAAGATCAATATTTTTTTTAATGTTTAGACTATGTAAAGATTATAACTCCAGAGGCACACAGCTTGTTTCTCCATATTTCTATCAGCAGTATTTTTTACATGGATAGTAATTTCCTTACTATCGAGGAGATAAAAATCTGAAGTAAATATGATATAAATAAATATATCAAGTGTGTATGCCTGCACCCTCTCCAATTAAATAGAGATAGAGCGTGGACTTTTCATTAAACATGGTAAATACTGTGCAGTCTAAGAGCAATGATTTGTAAACTGATCCCAGCATATATACCTCTGGGATTCACCTTACTGGGGTTTCCTTTTGCTGGGACAGGAGGCAGAAACCAAGTTTTCTCTGTGATACCGCAGGTCCCTCTGAACAGTACAGATACGTCCACTCACCAGTAAGGTCCATGGTGATTGGTCCTGGGGCACTCTCGCAAACCAGGGTAAGCCGGGTGACAGTGACATTGGGTATTGTTGGGTCTGCAGGATTCAAAAGAAAATGTAAGCACAGGGAAGAGATATGTGTGTGTAGTGGGTGTGTGCATTCCAAGCGGGAGAGAGAGAATATAAAAAGAAAAGTGATCTCTCTATGTGGAGTAGAAATAGAAATGGAAGCGGCACCTTCACCATGCTTAGTCTTCATGGCCTTATAAATGACAGTGACGCTATTTCTGCTTCAGGCACTTGTGTTGCCACCGTAATTATCAACATCCAGCATGTCCTGAGTGGCTATGCTAGCAAGGGACTCTGTTAGTTGGGCACTGCCCGTTCATATCTTTGGGCCATGTCTTGCTCTGTCATTGTGTATATGGAAGAGGTGAATGGTTAGGTAAGGACTGAGGAAGAGAAAGAGAAAGGGAAGAGAGAAAGTATGAGAGCTCGTGGAGGAGCGAACTCCATTCAAAATGGTAGCCTGGAATTCTTCCTAAATCCCGCCTATGTGTTATTATTGCCTATCTCACTGCCGACTTGCATCTTATCTCCAAAGTAGGCTTAGTGATAGAGTCCATAATTTTATTCAGCACATGTAAAGTGTGCCTCGCCCACTTAGCCCTGGAAGCAGTCGGTCCTCCTCCCTGTGCCCCTGCTCCTGAGTGGCTATAGTGGCTGCCTTCTCAGGGACCCTCCACCTACTCCATCCCCACACACACCTGCTACCACGGGGCCATCTCCCAGCAGTGTTTTCTTGTACTTGGTTAGACTTTCGTCGTCTTTGTCCATCTCCTGCAGTTCTTTCAGGGACTTCTGAGGTGGAGGCTTGTAATTGAGCTTGCCGTCCAGGTCATCCTCATCCTCCTCCAGGTGTGGCTCAGGAGCCTTTTCAGTCATTTTGATCTATTTCAGAAAGGGGAGGGGGGCAGCTGATTAGCCAAAGTCAGTGGATATGCCTGCAAAGCTCTCAGCATGCACAATCCCAGTAATTATGGCTTAAAGAGGCAGGCGGAGTACCTGCCGAAGGAATGGTTGACTTCTTCTGATTCATTGCATCTTTCCCTGAACAGCTGCAACACCTCAAAGGTGACTCATGAGGAATTGTAGATCTTTATGACACCTGCCCGAGGCATCTGAATGGTTCACACCCAAGACTGCTAATAGCTCCTTGAGGGAGGAAACTAGGTTCAGTGTTTCTACTGAATCCCCCATAACACTTGGATAGTTCAGGCATCTGATAAATTTTCATTGATTGATTTATTAAGTTCTATATCTAAAGATATTCTCTTCTTTCGAAATGCCACAAAATGGCAAAGGACACTTTACATTCTTTGGGACAAAATTGTAAGTAAAAGTCTGTCCTTAGTACCCTTCCATCCATCTCCCCTTTCTGGGACCCACTTCCCTACTAGTTTCTCCCTCCCTGCCCCAGGTTTGCAGTGACCTTATGCTCTAACCTCCGCCTGCCCCCCCCACCCCCCAGCACACTCTGGAGTCTTCCTTCTTCTAGCATCATCTACATTTACTGGTTTTGTATTAAAACATTGAGGGGAAGTCTAGTAAAATTATCCACATGTAAGTGTTAATGATTGAATAATAGCTAGAAAGTGTGCATCATAGGGCATGTATAGTCACCGTTTTTCAGAGCCAAAAAGAACCTTTGAAGCGATATATTCCAACTCCTCATTTAATCACTGAGAAAACTGAGATCCAGAGGTTAAGAGAATTGTCTAAGTTCACATAGCTGGATGAGATGCAATGTCCTAACCGAGAGGAACAAATCCCTATGGGGAGAATTTCTGGCCTGTGGCTGGCAGCCATGGGAGATAACTGCCAGGGAGATATTCGGACAAGGAGATTATTTTCTGATTCCTCTTGGTTCCACCTCTAGGGTAACTCTCTTCCTTGCCTGTGAGTAAAGTCTTCATGGCTTCCAGGTGATACACCTATAAGATAATATCTATCACATCTCATCCTGAGTGACTCTGCAAACCTTTATAAAGTCCCCTGAGAGTGAAGATATCTTGGGTCAAAATCAGTTATAGTTTTCAGTTTCCATGTCACTATCCTTGGCAACAGGAAGAAAAATAATTTGGGAGTAAAGCCAAACAAAAGCAATTTTAACAGAACCAAAATACTAAAAAAAAAAAAAAAATTCTTTGGCTCATCAATCTTCTTACAGCTAAATAACAAGCCAAACATTGTAAGTGAGCCTTGACCAACTGTGAAAACAGCATTGCAATGCTGAAGTCCACTTCCTGTACAGGAAGGAAACATGCAGGCCTGTTTCTGTGGCCCCTCTTGCCTCACCTGAAGAACCAGCACCACTCAAAGCTGAGACTCTAGAACATAGCAGAAAAACATAGTGACCAACTCAACTCATATTCCAAAAAACACTCAGGGAAAGTGAATGAACTGGCTGGAAAAAAAATGAAGGATGTGGTATGTGGCTGTTGTAGGTTGTGGGTAGTTTAAGGGACAATTGTCGAGGGGCAGATGAGAAACAAACCAGATAAGATCAACTTGAGACTTGTCTGGTGACCGCAGGAGTCTAACCAGAGCCCAGGTGACCCCAGGAGGGTAAAGGCCACATAACAAACCTGCTGACAGAGCATCAGGAAGACTATCTACAGAGAGGGGCATCCAAGCCCCCATGGACAGGCCTTTCTGGAAGATATCTCTTGGTTCTAACAAGTCACATGCTTGAAGCCCTACCATCAGATGGTGACATTGCACCCAGTCACTAGCTCAAAGTGATTTCAGTACCCTCTACGGGATTGTAATTATGCTGCCTCAAATCTCAATTTTGAAAAAAGAATGAGAGAAAGAGAGAGACAGAGAGAAAAAGGATGAGAGGGTGGGGGAGAGAGAAAGAGATCTGGTTTAGGACAGGATTTGTCAACCTCTAACTGTGTTGACCATTGGTGATTCCATTTATCTATCATCTAGGTTTTCATCTTCTTGTTAGTAAATCTGAGATTTATGTCTATGTGTTTGATTAATTGATACCAGATACAATAATTGTTTCATAAAAATGAGCCATAAACTTATTTAAAGACATTGAACAATGGAAGATAATGTTGGGATTACTGTGTGAAATTTTGTTACAGTCAAGAGGAGGGAATTCCACACTGAGATCATTTGGTCCAATTGCAGCATGAGAAAAAGAGATATGAGGCCAGATGATCCAAATCTAGCTCACTCTGGAAAGCTGTTAGAAAAAGTAATAACACAGCAAACAAAGGACTGGAAAAACAGTTCTCATGGAAAGCCTTTTAAAGCAAAATTAAGGCCACCCTATTTGGTGAGCACCTACTCTTTACAGGACACTGTACGTTAGCACATCCTGATGCTTAGTTACCTTTCAGAGGGGTGAAGGAGCTGGAAGCTGGGCAATCTCACCGTACTAAAAAGGTCCAGCTGGTTTGATTACGGTTCTTAATCTTTTTGGAGATTACAGGACTCTTTAAAAATCTGATAAACATCATGGTCCTTATCCTAACGAAAAAAGGAATAAACCCATGAAATTGTGCATATAATCCAGGGGTTCACAGACCCCTGAAGTCCTTCATAGGCTTTATTGGAGTCCAAGATCTCCAGATTAGGAACATGACCTTAAAACTGTAACTTCCTGGAAACAGGAAGCAGAGGGTTGAATGTTACAGAAGAAAATTGCTTCTACATGAGACTTGGCCAGATCATTGATACAATTTAGCCTCTGGCTCAGGATCATGTCCATCCACCGAAAACATTGACTATTTAGAAGCAGAAGTTATCAGGTGACCACGAAGCCTTTCAGAGAGGCAGAGGAGCACAAGGCCACAGGGAGCAGTCTATTAGGGGAAGAATCCTGTGGTCAGTCTGTTTGATTTTGGATAATTATCTCTCCACTGAACTAGGCCTCCTCATGCATGGGTTTGGGTTCTGGCTTTCCTACCAACTAGTTGTGACCGTGGAGTGAACGTTTCAACCACTGTGGATCGTACTTTTCCCATTTTGGAAGAAGAGGGATTAGTGCACACCATCTCTAGATGCTTTACTTCTCTAAGGCCTCTACATATTTCCCACGGTCATGTGTCACCTAAGTTCCCAGACATCCAGTTACCTTATATTACCTCTATGTATGAGAGAATATCTAGCTTTGTTTTATTATTTAAAATTTATGTGAATCCCCAAAAGATACTGCATTTTAAATTTTATTTGATTTAATTTTTTCCCAGACATGAAATTATTGTTCCACCCAACAGCTTTTTGCATAATAAAGGATACCATAATAATAACAGCACATAGTTACTGAACACTTACCATGAGCCCAAAACTTGGCAATTATGGTCTAAGTGCTTTGTATACATTGTTACATTCAATCATCACAACGTCGTGAAGTAGGCACTATTAGTTACGTTTTACAAATGCAGAAACTGAATATTTCAACTATACAAAAATTTACAATTTCTATTCAAAATATGCCCCTATAGATAGTGAAAAGAGTATTGGTTTGGATTGTAAAAAGGAGATATTTGGAATGCACATATTAACAAGACATTAATATCCAGAATACATAAATACTCCTACTAGTCAATTTTTAATAATTTTATTGTATGTGTTTAAAGTATAAAACAGGGTGTTTTGATGAACATAGTGAAAATGTTACTATAGTCAAACAAATTAACATATTCATCAACTCACATATAGTTATCTTTTTTGTGGCAAAAGCACCACAGTACAATACTGAGTAATACTGAGTACAATAATATTGTACTCATATTATTAAGTTTTGTACTGCATTTTCAATTTTATAATTTATCTCTGGGCGACCTCAGATTCTCCCAAAGCTCTAGCCATAAATCGTATATGCAGTTTGACAAAAACTTCTCAAACTATATACGTGTGTATATTTAACCACAAATATTAATTTTCTTTTTTTCTCCTCCCACTGTATGGATGCTTACTGAAGCAAGAATAGGAACTTTATGAAAAGTTTACATACTGTTTTCCGATCCCATCACCTAAAGAATAACTGATCTTATTATTGATAATAATTGTAGTAGTTATTGCATATAGTGCTAAGTGATTTCTAGAGGATTATCTCTTTAATTTTCACAGCAACTTACTGGGCATCATCATTCTCTTTTATAGATCAGGAAACTAAAGCACGGGTTAAGCAACTTGCCCAAGTAGACATATGGAAGGGGCAGAATTAATGTCTGAGTGAGGGTTGCTTGACTTTTAGGCACTGTACTCTGTTGCTTCATTGTTGTTATTAAGAAGTTATTATGAAATTAGAGCTCGTTAGTCGTCTTGGGAATCTACTTAGGGTGCACAACAGAGGTAAACGCTTCTCTGCAAGCTCCGCAGGGACAACTTTAACAAAGCAGGGAAGTGTCATATAACGGTTTCAGCGCGACCCCGTTCCTGTATTATCTTGTGCAAGTCACTTAACCTCTCTGGGCCCAGTTTCATCCTCTGCAAAATGAAGTAGTTACATTAGAAGATCATCGAGGCCCCTTCTTAATTCAGTGACTCTAATGCTCCTTAGTTTAAAGAAGCTTGTGGATGAGAGAGAAAAAGAGGAAGTGAAGGTGGGGTTGGAGAGAGTCCAGCTCATCGGCATAGAACCTTCTGGTTGGGCTTTTCTCACCTTCCTCAGCTGCTCATCCACTGTTGCCCAAAGAGCAGAGTTGCTTTTTCTTTGTTTATTTCTTTTTGACTTTGGTTCTTTACACAGGAAAAGTTAAATGGAGAATTAACAGTTATATATTTAATGAGGTTATTGTGAACTCTACCTGTCAGGCCCCAAAGCACATATATAGCTTTTTCTCATGTACTTACTACTTCAATTTTCTCCATTTTCTGCCTCACAGATGCCTACACAGATTAATTTTCACAGTGGAGCCCTCACACCCCCATCCTTGCTATTCAGCAAAGCATTGCCAAGCATTAGATGTGCTGAGCTGGGGACTTAATCTTCTCAGGCTCAATTAAAATGCCAAATTAAATTAGGATGGTTACTCACAGCACACATAGCACAAACCAATGGTTTTGCGTGCAAATTTAGTGAAGTTTCTAATACATTGAAAGTGAAATACACTTGAGAATTTACACCAATCTCAGGACAGAGCACACTGGTCTTGTTCATTAATGTAGTCCTAAATGAGTTGAGGACGAGAAAAGGTGACACTCATGAGTTCAGATGAAACAAATTATCCAGTTAATTCAAAGAAAGGTGATCTTCACGTCTGCGAGAACAATGGGCTTTGAGTTAGATGCGCCCGGGATTCAAACCTGGGCTCTGCAATTGGCTTATTACAGGATTTAAGCAAGTTACTAATCTCACTGAGCCTCAGTTTTACCAACGCTAAAGTGGGAATAATAATCGTTTTTTATGAGGTTGAAGGATTGGAGAAAACATTCTCCAATTCTCCAACATTCTCTGACAATTCAAGGACTATACTGGCCAAGAGTAAATGTTCGATAAACATTTGTTCCCTCGCTCCTCTCCCACCCCTGCCCTGACGCAGTGTTTTGTTGTACAGCTTCAGAGAAGGTAGGTAACTGCCTCCGCACCGGATGCTTCCCCTGGTTGGGAGCTCATCGTGCCCATTCCTTCCTCCTCAAAAGTAGCTTTTGTTTTGTGGAGAAGTATGGCAGAGCTGAGAAGTTCTGGGAATTTTAAGGATTGTTTATAAACTGAATCAACCTTAAAATGAGACTATAACTATTATATTTCCTTTAAAAACTCCCACATAAACAATTTAATTTTAGATTTTATTTACTGCTCCCTTTCCTGGTTGAAGCCAGAGGTCACTCTGTGAACGCTGAGAAATGTCAGCGAACACAGGCACAGCCAATGGAGAGAATTCGAGAGAATTCCTTCTGGCTCTGGAGACAAATACCGTGGGGACTTGACTCGTGTCCCAAAGCTGGCTCTGCTAAACGATGCTGGATTGTGCATCTAGGCACACAGGCCGTGAGTATTGGGCAGAAGAGGTAGAGATGCGAGGGGAAGGGGGAGAGAGAGAGATCGGAGAGAGAGAGAGCAGAGGAGGAGGGGAAAGAAGAGAGATGGAGAGAGACAGAGGAAGTGGCAGTGTCACAAGCAGGGGATTTCCATCAGACAAATCCCTGTAGAACATCAACATTCTTTGCCACTCCTGCTATCTCTGTTCCCTGCTGACCAGGATATGTCTGCCTTCCCCCAAATCTACCACCTCGGCCCAGTGAGGAACATCGAAAACTTCAAAACTGGATCAGAACCAAACCCATGCCTGAGCGGAGACTATTTTGCTAGATACAATAAACATTATAATTGATTCAGAGGAGGGTGCAAATTACCAGAAACAGAATCCTTTAATATTTCCTTTTGCAACAGAAACAAAATATGATTTCTTGCCTGTGCATTCATGGTATTCGCTTCCGATCCCCCACTTTTATGCAAAAGGAGAAAGAACTCAAGGGATCCAATAAGCTTTGCAGAGTGCCCACCATGTGAATTCACTCTGCTGGGTACTTTCCCAAGTATTATTTTAAATAACTCTCAAAGAAAACTGTGCATCGAGGAAGTCATTACCTTCAATAACTCAATATAGTCACAAAAGTTTTAACTTAGCATGAAAAGTTAGAAGTCAAATGCAATTTTTATGACCAATTGTGGCTTAGACTATCAGACCCCTTAAGAAAGCCCAAGTGAATTTTTACCAGCTCAGACTGTGGACACCAGAGAGTAATACAACACAGAGGGATTCCGCAAGTGCTGACTGAATGGATAGATGTCGTTGACACTTCAGGGGCACCATGAGACCGGTCTCTGGGTATGCCAGTGTAGACCCTAATATGGGGTCCCAGGCAGCAGCAACACTGACCCAGGAATCAGGGTGTTCAGAATGTGGGATTAGAGAAAATTTCTTCTATGAAACATTTCCTAAAATGCTATTCTGAGGCATTGTAGCTATGGATTCTTTTTAGTACCAGTATGTGACTTTAGTCAAATCAGTTAACACTTCCTCAGTCTTTTCGGGATTAAAATTTGGAAGTTTTTAACACCAGGCCTGACTCATAGAAGGCACTCAACGAATGTTGGTTCTCTTTTTCTATCTGCATAATTTTTACTCCCCAGGGCTTCTCTCTTCCTGCTAGCTGAAGTTTGCAATGTACTGCACTCCCATAAATGGGCCCAAACCCACATCTTTCCCTCAGAATGACTTTGGTGTCTGAGCTTCTGCTGAAAAGAGAACCTTGATGTCGCCCAGAGAATACTTCCCTAGAGACAAACTCATGCTCTCTGAAACACGGGAGCACCAAATTCCAGTCCAGGCCAGGAGAATGCCAGTCGGTTTTTATTCAGCTACAACATGGTCATTCCTGATGTTTTGGATCTGTGAACCTGGATGGAGAATGAACTGTTCTTCTCTCAGAATTCCACACATCACACAAAAGAGTAAGATGATCTTGTTACTAAGCTTGTGCTATGTCTGGTTCGGGGAGGGATATATTCTTATGAACTAAAGAGAACAAGGCCAGTGGCAAGATTGATGATGTTGCTGGTGACTGGACTCTTACTCCTCATCCTCCCCCAGCCGACAGGCCAACACGGATCTCTCGATTTCCCTTGCCTGGTCTTCCTGCAGTGAGGACCCCAACAGGCCAATGCTGACTTCAGTGCCCTCCGTCTCGTGTGAAGGGCGGCTACAGGCCCTCCGTGTTCGAGCAGGCTGCCTTCCCCCACCTTGAATGAAGAACTGCCTAGGGTTTACCAGACCCACACCACAAGTTACCCCAGGTCTAAAGTTTTAACTACAGACGATGTTTATAAAACATGCCTGCTGGGAAGTCCTCTAAAAGGGAAGAAAATATTTCAGGTCACACCTAAAGCACTTCTCCTAATGGCAGCCAAAATTCAGACCTTGGCATTTTGAAGGCCCACTAACTGAGTGTTCTAACGGGGCCCACTTAGATTTTTCTAGAACCTGTCTCTTTAATAAACTATTTGGCATCTTCCGTGTTTGCTTTTAGTTCTCTCAGATGTAAAGGGCTTTTTTTTTTTGGCAACAACAGCAACAGTCTTTCTGCCCATTTCCCTGCAGGAATTGAATACACAGCTTCTGTTAGTGGTAGAAATTCTATCAGTGTATGACTGATGAATAAATAACAATGTGTTCTATCATACTTCCCCTTGAGCGCTAAGTCCCCTTGTACTCTAAGGAAGGATTTCATTATGCATTTCTCTAATATCCCCAGAAAATTCCTCAGTGGAAAACAGTTTAATATTTGACAGCTTTGAACCATTTTTTTTGCCTCTTTTCAACCAATCTCTCTACACAGTTTGCTTAAAAACAGGAAACCACATATCTCCACCCCAGCACAACCCACCATCCTCCAACACGGTCCATATCGGTTTGCATCTACAGTCGCTTTGCTTGTGAGCTGGGCGAGGTGCCTGCTCCTACCTTGTAGGAAGCCCCTCCAGGCACTCCCAGTCAGTGTCCTCATAGCCCTGCTCCAGAACATTCAGGATTTCACCTCCTGGGCTGCAGTCCACCCTCCGCCCTCCCTTCTGCAGCTGTCTCCCCTGAGTCACTGCTACCCTTCCCCGCTCTGACTTCCCCTTCTCTGCAGAACTGCTCCAAGCAGCCACTTTAACAGTTTCTTATTACAAAGTTTGTTTTAAAGAGCTGCCCCTCTAAAAAAATAATGACTGCAGAGAGTGGCAGCCTAGTTTGGAGATTTCCTACTTTGCTCTGTGCCCCCCTGAAGCCTCCCCCGCTTGAGGTATTTGAACTTACATTCAGTGCTTCACGTCTCTGTCCCGGGTGCCTCTGTCTCTCAACTCTGACTTCTGAGTACTGGCAGTTAGAACAGGAAGGAAGTTAGGGAGAAAAAAATGTTTTAAACCTACTTGAAGAGGAAACCCCGGGCTGCCTCAAATCCTGTTCCTTTGCACTGCCTATCTCTTGATCAGCCAACTTGAGCAGCAGTCTTGCCAATTAATGGCACAAGTCGGAACATGGCAGCCCATGTGACGTGGAGATGCATGAACGTGCACGCAAGAGTGTGGAGCCTATACCCACGGGTATTATGAATAATTGTGCAGATAAGTCTGAAAATCAGGTCATTTCAGTGCATCAGCCTACTGAGGCGAGTAGCCTAAAACTAGTAGCAATGAATTCACATAGGCTTTGCTTCGTACCACTAACTTCTGTTCCTGTTGGGTCCCTGCCAGCTTCCTTATCAGCCAGATATGTTGAAAGTTTGCTGGCAGTGACTGCAGAGTGCTAAGAAATTTTGAATGTTAACTGCATATACTAGGTCCTAAATTTAAAAGTGTGTCCTTAAACTGGTTTTTGAAGTTTTATGGGTTATAATTTCACGATGTAGCTTCGTATCGCACCACAAACGTTCAAATGTTGTTTGTTATAGGTTTTGCTGATTTTTCTTCAAAGGAAACAAACAAACTGGCTAAAGTAGTGCCTTTGATGAAATTGAGAAATACAATTACAGACTAAAGTAAAACTTCATTAATGCGTAGTCTTCTAACTCAGAATTTGTGACATTTTAACAAGTGCTAAAATTGACTTTGTACCATATTTGAGGAAATGGTTTCTAAAGTAATTTAACTGGGAACAAGCTGCAGAGGCCATGTTTAAACCATTTGAGGAGACAGTTTTTAAGCACCCAAGCCACATTTATCCTATACATTCCCATCGCTGTTGCCAAATATAACTGCTTATTTATACTATTATTTCAATATTCAGTATTTACGCTATATCAGCATGTTTAGGACTGACTAATCAAGCACATATATTTGGAGAAACTGGCATTTACTTCGTTTTCCCCTAAATGTACTTCATCATCTTCTCTTCATTTTGTAAGTTGAAATCACAGGGTTTATCTTACTCTTAGAGTCAATGGAACTGACTGACGAAGAGAGTGGTGGTCATTTGGTGTGAAAAAGAGATTAACCTAGAAAAATTTAAAGAAGAAAACAGTACATAATAAAAATTAGTAAGGTACTAAAAACCTAATACAGTTTCATTCCATAAATTTCAAAATAATATAGACAGATGACAGCCCTTGAAACAATATATATAACTTTCTTATAAATAGAAGCAAAATACTAATTTACACAGAAGGCGGTGAATTTTGCAGCTTTGTACCCTCAAGAAGGAACACATTTATTCACTCAATAATATTTGCTGAGCACCTCTTTTCTTCCAGGTCCTGTTCTAGGCTCTGGTGTGCAGCAGCAGACAGTGACAACATCTCTGTCACCTTGTGGAACTTAGGTTCTAATGAGGAGACAGACAGTCAAAATAACTGGAACAAGGAGTGTTTACTAATCAGAAATGGTAAATTCATGATCTACATACCACCACCCATTTCTCATCCTGAAAGGGAACACGTCATTAGTCAAGCCTGACATTTTTTTTCCTACTGACTCCAGTGTATCCTCACAACTTTCCTTAACGTAGTGCTTTAGACACAGACATTGGAGGGTATGGAAGCCCCCCAAAAATCAGTATGTATATATACAGCACGTGGGGGAACATGTGTGTGTGTTATTTGGGGAAGAGAGAGTGTTCATAATTTTATCAAATTCTCAAAGAGATCCATGATCTCAAAAAGACTAATTATTACTAATTCAGATCTTTTCCTGGGTGATTTAGCAATGGAATTTCAGTCAGTTAGAAAACAACTGCCATGATTTCCTAAAATATCTTCTAACATCACAGTCAGTGTAGGGGGCTACCTGAAATCACCATTTCTCGTGTTCGTCTGCTGCAGGTCATCATTCGTGTGTGTTTATTAGGTAGGAAAACTAAGAGGAAGAGACTTCTTTAAGGAATTAAAACGGCAGACACTCCGCTTCTAGCCTATGCTGACAAA